TTATATTTGGCCAGAAGCATGCTGGAATGAAGGGCTATCAAGTTTGTTCAAATAAATGACCTTCATCCATTTTGAAGGTCACAGGGGTAAAATATGTTGAAATCATTTAAACAACTTCTTTTGAATAACCAAGAGGTCTATGGTGGTAATATTTGGCCAGTAACATGCTTGGATGAAGGGATATTGAGTTTGTTCAAATGAATGACCTTGACTCATAATCAAGGTCACAGGGGTCATATATGTCAAAATCTTTAAACAACTTCTTCTGAATAACCAAGAAGCCTAGGGTGATGATATTTGGCCAGTAACATGCAGGGATGAATGACCTTGACTTTTATCTAAGGTCACAGGGGTCAAATATGTTTAAAACCTTTAAACAACATCTGATGAATAACCAAGAGGCCTAGGGTGATGCTTTTTGGCCAGTAACACACTGGGATAAAGGGCTTCCAAGTTTGTTTGAATGAATGACCTTCACTCATTTGCAAGGTCACAGGGTTCAAATTTGTTTAATATCTTTAAACGACTTCTTCTGAATAACCATGAGGCCCAAAATGTTGATATTTAGCCAGAAGAATGCTTGGATGAGGGCTATCATGTTTTTTCATTTGAATGACCTTGACTCGCTTTCGAGGTGACATTTAGTCAAATATGTTTAAACATTTAAATGACCTAATTTCAATAAACAAAATGATAGGGTGGCGATATTTTGCAAGTTGCATCCTGTGATGAAGGGCTATACATTTTGTTCAACATGATGACCTTGTTCGACTTTCAAGGTCACAGGGGTGAAATGTTTTTAAATCTTTTAACAGGTTCTTCTGAATGACTTTTAATTATAATACTGATATTTTGTCTTTAGCTTTATCTAAAATCACTATTAAGGTTACAAGTGTGGGATTAATACCAGGTGAGCGATGCAGGCCCATTGGGCCTCTTGTGTGGAAGTTAAAGTGATATATGATAGCTATCTAATTGTGTAGTAAGTGTAACTCATTGCCATATATTTTTTTTTTAAATGTACGCCACAGAATTTTTGAATAATCCATAATAAATTATTAAGTATTTATATGAAAAACTTGCTTTTGAAAAAAAATGTTTAAAAAGCGGAATAGTAAGCTACATTAAAAGCTTAGAACACATTTCATGTCTTTCATAAGGTCTGATATTATTTTTTAAAGCATTGTTAGTTTTTTCTGGAATATGGTTTTAATATCAGGCTAAGAATTAGAATGTATTTCTATTTTAAATCATCAGCTTTATAAGTACAAAATGCTTGGAGTTTGAAAGGATGTTGAAAATGGAAATGAGTTTTTTTTCTAACTTGTGATGATGTTAGTTTTATCTGGGTGTGTGGTGAGAAATTTTACATGTATCATGCAATAACGAGTCTTTTTTCAGTGTAACCATGCATGCACATATGTATCCTTATAACTGTGTGGTATAGTCTCTGCTATTTGTACACAAATGTGTTCTATAAATAGTATAAATTGTGTTATGCATGGGAGATGTGCCAATATATATAGATGTTATCATTTCAATACAATGCCAGCCTAGAAGGAAATACATCTCATTGTAAATAACAATACATTGAAATAAATGTAAATGTGAATACCACTATATTTAACTTGACATTTTATTTTTTTATTTTTCTATTTCCGTAGAGGCTGGTAACAATGTGTTCAGAACAAATCAATAACATCTCTTGTACTCTATTATTAGTCTCCTGATGGTACTACCAGGGGGAGGGGGATAAGGTNGGGGGGAGAAAGGGGGGGGGGGCAGGGATAAGATTATTTGTTGTGGAATTCTGTTTAGTCAATAGGTAGACTAATTCATAATAAACATTGTCAAAGGATGTATGTATGTCGTCATAATTTGTTGTCTATTATCAATCTCCTGATGGTACTACCAGGGTGGGGGGGATACGGTTTTTGTTGTCTATTAATCCCCTGATGGGACTACTGGGGGAGGGGGGGGGGGGGGTTCTTTTATTCCCCCGAGGGTCCTACCGGGGGGGCCCATAAAGTTTTTTTTTCTATCAATCCCCTGATGGTACTACAGGGGAGAGGGGGGGGGGGGGGGCTATAAGGGTATTTGTTGTCTATTATTAATCCCCTGATGGTACTACCAGGGGGGCAGGGCGATAAGGTTATTTGTTCATCCTTCATTTATTTGATTTCTGCAGGCTACCTTGAATGTTTATATGCACATTGCATAAGAAAACATTACCCTGTATTTTGGGTGTTGCAGCAGCTTTTCAGAATATGGGTAAAAACTGTATAAGGCACACAGTGGAATTCTGTTTAGTCAATAGGTAGACTAATTCATAATAAACTTTGTCATAAGATGTATTTATGTCGTCATAAGCTGTATTTATGATGTCATCAGCTGTATTTATGAGGTGATACATGCTGATTTTGAAGGGGACCCTGAACATCCCATTTCTGCTGGTGGTACAAGTGTCTTGCTATAAACCTATATAGTTACTAGCTTACCTAGCATTATGTGAGCTTATTAGATGATGGAGAGCTGTCATCAGTCGTCCTTCAACTTGATGTTTAAACACCTTGGTGTTTAGAACCTTGGGGTACAGGGCTAGTATCTTCCTGGGGTGGAGCATGACACATTTTGTGCAAAATAAAAATGACATTGCCTTCCTTTAAAGATCACAGGGGTCAATGAGTAAAAAAGAAAAAGAAGCTTTTAATGAACGTAAGTTCTTAAATATCAGTGAAGTGCTACATAGATAGCTATAAGAAATTAACTTTACTAACTTTGACTTCCATTTAAAACGTTTAAATGACCTCTTATGGAGATCTGCAATGTCCAGGGTCGTTATATGAGGCCAGTAATTTACTTGGGTTTAATGTGAAAATATTGCGAAACAAATAATGTTGAATTACTTCCAAGGTCACTGGTATGAAAAAGGTTAAAAGCTTCAAATGATTAAACAAGTCAAGAATTTTGGCGAATTATTGAATTACAGATTAGCGCCTTGTTGAATTGGCGCATACAAAATATATACAACAGAAAACTATGTACAAAAATTTCAGCAAACGCAATCATAATTTCAAAGTAGAACACCGCCAAAACATGTATGTTTACAGTATAGCTGTACACAGATTTTGAGAGAGAATAGAAAACTTCTTGTCGGGCTTACTTTCAGGGTCACGTGATTCGAACCTCCAAATGACTTTTAGTGAAATAAGACGGCTATACAGTCAGATCATGGTATTCAACTTTATAGGCAGGCTTGCGTAAGGACCTTTATCACGTTGGTAAAGCAAATGACGACCTATATTCAAGGACACAGGTGTCAATTATTTATAAACTGCTAACTAGTTAGCTTCATACACGGACGGGTTCCGGATTTTTGTATGAGGAATGGGAAGGAGGTATAGGAATGGTTAAAAAGTGTGTCGGCTGGAGTGTGGTGAAAATTAACAGGGAATCCTTAAACTTGAAAGGATCATAGAGGGCTAAGTATTGGTTGTCATTTGATACTTCAAACATCATTATGTCACAGTTTAATGATCCCTGTCCCACTGCAGACAAAACACACAGACTATCGTCAATATACGGTAATCTCTCCTTTATTTCGTTCGGGTATAACTGTCTAGTGCAGTTGGGGCTTCCCATGTAGCCCAGTTGGTTAGAACAACTGTATAACAATCTGGGGCCACAAGATATGATTTTCTTTTCAGGTGTGATTTATCAGAGCTATGTTTCCGGTTTTAAACGCATAATTACATTTTGGCAGTGGTACGGGTTTTCCGCAAGGCGCACCGCGTCTAGCATCTGATTAAAGATGGTGTGGCGAGCCTCCTTGATAAGAGAAAGTGTTCACATTAAAGAGTCATAATTCATTTCATGAATATTTATTTGACAAGACATCAAATGAAATATGGCAACAGAATATAAAGCCTTTAAAACCCTTCTCCAACATTACTGAGTTTTGGTATATCATAGGAANCCCCCCCCCCCCCCCCCCCCCCCGAGATAGATGTGAGCATTTTGAAATATTGAAATATTTAGATAAAATGCTAAAATGCTGCCATTTATATTTAGACGCGTGGATGTCAATATCTTCCCTCACAAACTTAAATTATTATAGGAGTTGCGCCCCTTTACCTTCAGGAACGAAACAGTTGTCTCGGACCTTGAATCCCAACCTCATCCTCGATACTCCCACTTATGCTTTCTGCACCCCTGGAATATGTCATAGCAAAGTTGAAGGTACAAGGCTAGCTATTTGATTGGTCTCGGACCCGACCGAAACATTGTTTTGATGTATATGAAAAGATCAAACTAGTCATCTTGTCTCATCCACAAGGTAGCGCACACCGAGCCTTCTATTTTGCTATGCCATTTTCCAGGGGTGCAGGGAGCGGAGGTGGGCGTAACTCTTAAGAGTATCGAGGATGCCCTCACCTTAATATTCAATGTTGTCTTACGTCTTATACCGAATGTTAGCGGGCCAGACCAGTTAGAAAATAAAATAAAACAAAAAACAACGATAATATTGGCTCTGTTGGAGCGTCCGTCTAGCATTCATGGGTCCCAGGTTCAAATCCCTGTCTATTGTTGCGTTTTCCCGTTTTGTTTCACACAGTGTCACTTTAAATATATATGCGCTATCTACCAATTTCAAATATATTAATCCACTGAAAACTAATAACCCGCATTTCATAGTTCATATCCATGCAAATAAATGTAAGTTAAGTTAAATCATCCAATACTACGTCCAAGGAATATCCATAAGTTTATTAAGTTATTTAAATAGGCGATACCACCAATAATCGCAATTTTCAATTTTGAAATGTTTTAGAAAATTAACAAATTATCGGTTTTAATTTAGTTGTAACTCTATGGATCATTAAGACAGCTAGTCCAAGTTTATGAACATTGGCATTTGCGCCATGAAGAAAATGACTTCGTCACGTCACGCCATTTCGCGGATTAGACCATTGAAGTCGGGTATTTGGGACGTCATAGCTACAATGACGTCATCAACAGAAGATGACGTTTCATAACATTCACATTTTCTGTACAACACGAAGATATTGAGCTTTTTAAAGTTTCGATAATTTGTTGTGGAAATGGCGACTCGAATTGGTAAAAAAACTAGGAAATGCAAACAATGCAAAGGCGATATTTGCATTCACGAAAATGCAAAACAGAAAGAATGCCTTCCATTCGGACCCAGCATAGCAGAGCAATGCATGGAGATTTTGGACAAACTTCTAAAGGACAAAGAGGGAACCCCCGAAGATATTCTAAAACTTGCAACACACGATCAGTTGGTAAGTAACGGACAAGATGCGCTGCTTTGGAATCTCTGAAATAATACTCATTTTGGCCGGGCGAATGTCCTCTAATGGAAACTAAACAATGAATCACAATATTTTATGATTTACTTACGACAATGTTTGTCAACATCATACGTTTTCTATGTTGTCTGAAATTGATAGGTAGAAAGCAAGTAAACAGACGAAACTCACTCAAAATTTTAGACTTCTAGATGGGTTATTAAATACGTTACGCCGACCTGTTCAGTTCCAGATTGGGATGGATCCTCTTTGTCTAGTGGCTGCAATGGGAAATGTGGATGTGATGCGCAGATTTCTGGACGCAGGTTCAAATGTCAATGTCAGGTCAACAGCGGTAAGTGCAATTTTATAGTTCCAAGGTTAAGTCTATAACTGCAAGGTCGAGATTATAACAACAAGGCCCAGTCTGAGGGTTTATTTTTTCATCGAGAAATTATTGATATAACGTCAAACTCCTGTGGTTAAAGTATATAAGCTCGTGTCTACAATTACAAGGTCAAGTCTAAGCCTACAGTAGTATATGTTGAAATCTTCAGTGGCATCGTTATAATTTTGTTTATGTTTTCTGCGGGTGATACTTTTGAATCCCGTGACATGTATAATTCTTTTTTCTTAAGTCATAATAGTTATAAAAATACTACTGAATTAGATTTTACTTTACTGTGCCAAAGTTCTACCAGTCGTAACTTAGTGTTAAGCCTACCACATAGTAAGGTCAATGATGTGATGTCAATGATGATTCTACACCGTCAGGTCAAGTCTACAGGGCATATATATATAACGTCACGCTACCACACTATTGGTAGACTACCCAAATTGGTACACGGTCAGAAAATGGTTCGAATAGTACTTAAAAATTTAATTTGAGCATTTTCCCCTGACAGTATAACAAAAGAGATATTTATCAGCATTTCCACCGAATAGTTTTATTTTTAGGAACATTTTAAGAGTACACGATGACTTCAAAGTAAACATATCAGAAAACCAGTAAAAACGACACATGTCGACGAAATTTTGGAGAATTTTCAAGGGGTTAAATATAAGCATGTTTAAATGTTGATTTCTGGTCCTTATATTCGGATAATATAAAAGTGAATATACACAATTATAGTTCAGTATGGTATCTATAAATGCAATATATTTTGTTGTAATCGGCACATCAACTTGTAGAAATACAAACAAATTCCATAGCCTGTGGTATGGTGTACCAATTTGGGTACTATTTACGGCCGAAAAACGGACGAAATCTCACTCCGAGTTTAGCGACCTATTTTCAAAAACAAATCACTTAGATATACAACTTTTCATGAAAATGAACCACCATAGGTAGTCTTTGTCAAGAATCAAGAAACATTCCAGATACAAGATCTGAATGTTTAAAGATCACTAAAAAACTGTCAAAATTGTACCAATTGTGGTAGTGTGACATTACGTTGGCGAAATCGAGGATTTTGAAGGGGTTAATTTTAAGCATGTTTAAATGTCAATTTCTGGGTTTTTTTTATAACCGGATAATATGAAAGGGTATATATTCAATTGTAGTTCAGTATGGTATTTATAAAAGCAATACGTTTTATTGCAATCGGCACATCAATTAATAAAAATAAAAATAAGTTTCATAGCCTGTGATATGGTGTACCAATTTGGGAACTAATCATGGCCGAAAAACGGACGAAATGTCACTGCGATTTAAGCCTTCTATTTTCAAAAACAAATCACTTAAGGTGACAGTACCCAAATCGGATCACCAAACCATCATTTTTTTAAATCATTGAAAAATCTAAGGAGGAATTATATTAATTTATAGTTGTGTCAAAAATAGAATATCGAAGGGTGTTCTCACAAACGAAATTAGCACCCGGGGCTCACTCGAGATATTTATAGAACGCTCTGAAGGCACCAATCAGCGTCTCCTGTTTTTGCGAATGTTGGAACCCAAATCGGACCAAGGCTTGAACTTTGCAGTATCTTACGCTTCAAATGAATATTTTTTGTTACCATATTAACCTTTTATGATGACCTCTAGAATTTGTATGACAAAAAGTATTTCTACAGTGTGAATTTATTCCTCAAGTCCAAAACAGAATGCATAGTCGTCGCACGCGCCATTTTTTTTTAAAACGTTATCAAAACACTGACATTTGAGTTTGAATTACATTTTCTTGTGCTATTTGAACTTAAAAACTAATCATCTGTAGACAAAACCTGGTGCATGGCTATCTATTCTAAGATTACATCATTGTTATATCTGATTTGTTGACACATTTATTAATTTATAAGTATTTTTGCAAAAAGTGATCCGATTTGGGTACTGCCACCTTAGAATCAAAACATTTTCTGAAGAATTAAGAAACATTCCAGATACAAGATTTGAATGTTTAAATATCACTGAAAAACTGTCAAAATTGAGGTTGTGTGGCGTTAGTGGTAAGGTCATGTCTAATCTTATAGTGGTATTGTCACCGTTAGCGTAACGTAAAGGTTATAAGGGTAATGACACCGTTGAAGGGTGAAAGTGTGTCGTGAAAAACAAATCAAAGTTTTAATTATGATAAACAAAGGACAATCATTGGGCTTAAGGAACGATGTCCCCGATGTTTCTTGATGTTGCATGAACATTCTGTACATGGAACTCACAGAAAACCCCCCATCAAATTAGAAAGAACTCCACCTGTAAGGGATGAGTACTAATATTTGAGTTACAGACGAAAATAAAGTCCCTATGTGTGCGTTACAGGACGCCAGTACCCCTCTGATGCTGGCCACGCAGAACCGACATACTGAGATGGCCGAGCTCCTTCTGAAACACGGCGCTGACGTCACGGCGGTCAACATGGTAAGCATTTCCGCTGATAGACCAATCCTTAACGAAACAATACCATTAGAGGATCAGTGTAATTATGAAAGTTTTCCTCCCACTGCGAATAACTTGGGAACATCGTGAGAAGCAGACATTTAAGTAGACTTTTCGATGCTCTTAGGAATACGTTTACACTGACGATACACTGTACATACACTACATAATCACAAACATTATGCAGTTTCAATACATATATCATACAATTCTATAAATGTAGAATGTTAATGTAGTTTGTGTAGGTGAAATAAATATTACATTATAATTTTATTACGAATTACCTGGTGCCTTAGTTACTTTATTTAAATTTAAATGTTCCCTCAGTGATGTATACTGCACTGGTAGTGTTTTACCACCCACAGGAAAAGAACAATTCATTCTGCATAGCGGTAAGGACGGGAGACGCCAAGCTGGTGAACGCTATTTGGCCATACCGTGGGAAATTAGACATCAATCATGCTAACTCCGTGAGTACCGAGAAGAAGAGCGGGGGTGGAACAAGCTCCGACCGGTGGGGCGGGCAGTACAATTATAGTCACGCAAGCTGCCGATCTGATTAAAATCATATGTTACATGGATTCGTTAACTTCGTACTACGCCTGAACATCTGAGTGTGCCGCGGTCAGGGTCACGTTCAGGTGACCTTTATATTTATAAATACTCATTAATTTTTGACCAATCAGAGACCCTCTTTCAAAAGGGCGTTCGGAGTTGTAACAAATATGCCGGACATTGATGAGAATGATGCGAAAGTTCTGAAAGCATTTGAGATTGATCGTCTGAAACCCGAACAGAAAAAGATATTGGAATCTTTATTAGAGAAGAAAGACTGTATGGCGGTGTTGCCTACGCAATTATTACCCAATGGGTACGTTTTCCTTGGCGTCGTACGTAGAAACGTCAGTTACCGCCGCCATATTTGTTTTGGAAAACTAATCTGTTCGATACCCTCCGCTATCTATCTATCAACCATGATATTCCAATTCGCTGGCAAACTTGCCAGCGCGCCTCTGATTGGTTCATCTAAAGGTCACTTGAACGTGACCCTGACCGCGGCACATTCAGATGTTCAGGCGGAGCCATGTAACAGATGATTTTAATCAGATTGGCAAGCTGCTACACGTACATTCCCTCGGCGTCCTGTTGGAAGCTGACGGATATAGAGTTTCCCGTTACACGACCAAACCTTCATATTTCTTCAGTTGAAATAATAAATCATCACATTTTACTGCTGGATATAATAAAAACACACTCTCCATTGGTAAAACCACGGACTTCGATAACTTAGATAATCTAATTCCGTGGTAAAACTAAGCGAATTATTTAAATTTCACGAGTATTTAAATTTAAATCCGTACCGGATGTCCTTACTAGACTCGCCCCCGCGCGAATAACAAAATGGCGAATTTCTAATATTATTTTTAGACGAGGTGTAATTGCTGCAAGAATTAAACATGAAACAATGAACAAATATTGTTATTGTTTCATGTTGTTGTTTATAAACACACACTTCTTCATTTTCGCAGCATAATGACTAACTGACAGCTATTTCTGACTGAGAAATCGACATCTGTTCCGCAACAAACGATACGAAATCTTGTTTTCAAAACAGCGTTGTAGTGGAGGACCTAATAGGGATTGATTATTGTTTACGAATACGAACTCGTTACGTTTTTTTCTCTCATTACAAGTAGATTTCATTAAGACTTATATTAGAATATTCATATTTACTTCCATAAGTCTGAATAAATATTTGGTGATCAATTTACGAAATATCGAAATAAGTTGCCGCCATATTGTTTATATTTGAATCACCAAACGCAAACATCTTGCGGCAGATTCGAAAACAGTAGGGCACAAAACATTAATTGTGTACTCTGCAACTGTAAAACTATTTCTTTCCAACTGATGGGTGCTGATTTTAGCGACAATTAATTGTATTACGCGATTGTCGTGTGCGATAACTAGCTAAACATAAGACAAGTTACACCAAAGGTATGTCGACAACGGGAATGAGACGGCCTATTATTTTGTCGTCTGTACACGACAACGGGGACCAGGATGACATATTGTTGTCGTGTGTAAACGACAACGGTGCGGAAAGAGTTAAGACCTATTTAGAGTTAACCTTTTGAGAGTGCAGCTTGTAATTGTGGTCATCCTTGTGAGAATGTCTTTCACTACCTTTGGGACTGTCACCTTTTTATAAACGAAGGCGTATTCTGGTTCAAAATTTAAATAATTTGAATGTTGCGTTTTATTTAGAAATAATTTTGTTTGGCAATTCACAATTTGCCGTGGATCTTAACACAAACATTTTTAGATACACATGCAAAACCTAAACAAATCTAGCAAGATATTTTGAGTTCAAATTGTATTAACAATTGTATATACTTGTTGCCACTATTGTAATGTCATTGAATGCACATGTACATGTATATTGGGAGAAGGCGTTGATAAATTGTAATAACTTGTCTAATCGCTTTGTCTACTTTTGGGAAAAAAATGTTTAAATCTCTTCCAGGAGGGTCAAACTGTTCTCCATTTTGCCGCTGAGAAGCTATGGGAAGCATGTGTTGGGTTCTTGCTCACTAACGGAGCTCAGATCAACAGACAGAACGGCGTATGTGTTGTGAATGTTTATACACAGTTTTTAGGAAGGACATCATCTAGATGTCGACAGAACCATTAAATGTTCGGGTTGTGTGACATATTAAATAAAAAGATGAACTTCATTTTATGCTGAATTGCTATATTGATCTGTGGCGTGAGGTTTTGATTCATAGATATCATAACAGATGTTAAAACGTAAACAATATAAACAAATAAGAAATGTGGCGAAATGATTGGAGTTAATTATCGAGTATCAGTGTCTTTATCTGTATACATTATATTATACAGTGTTGTTTATATCTAGGTACTATGGATGTTTAAACTAATGAGTTGAAAGACTCATGGCAATAAAAACATTAACTTAATATGAACTTCGATAACGTTTACGACAGGGAGTCTGGAATCTAGATATATATATTTTGTTTGTATAACAGTTTGTACAATATTCACCAATTTAATAAGCATTTAGAGAACAGCTAGTACTTATAATGGTTGATTCCTGATAGTGTACGTGTTGAAATGATTGACTTTGTATGTAAAATGAGTCTGTCACTAAGTATGTAATAAATTGTTAACAGTACTGAATGATAATTTCATACCGATACATTATAGTATATATATATATATATGGATATATAAGGTCATATTTTGTATCCCCATGTAGGAGGGCTTCACACCACTGATGATCGCCGCCAGTAAGGGTGATGCCAAGACTGTTGAAAAATTCTTGTCATCGGGGGCCGACTTTCTCATAGAGGACGTGGTGAGTATCTTAGGGTCTGGCTACCTCGCAGAGGACATGGTGAGTATCGCAGGGTACCGACTACCTCACAGAGGACATGGCGAATATCGTAGAGCGCCGCCCCTCATACAGGATGCTGTGAGTATCTCTGGGGGCGTTGACTGATTCATAGCGGACGTGGTGTCTCCGAACGTCGACTACCTCAACGAAGACGTGGCGAGGCTCGCATGGTGCCGATTACGTCGTAGAGGATGTTGTGGCTATCTAAGATAGCCAACTACATCAACGTTTGTCTGTTCGTTTTGGGTTTAACACCCTCTCAAAAGCTAAGGTCATATGAAGACGGGTGCCTAGGGAGAGATGGCCGAAAAGGAAGTTGAGGGAATGGTGAAAAAAACCTTTTAGACACCAAGTTAAACAAATGGGGACAGTAGATTGATTTTGGTTTCTTTAACGTCCACTTAATAAGCAGATGACAAAGAAGAATGCCAAAGGTTCTGTGATTACCCCCGCATTAGTCGCCTTAGAAAGCCTACATTGGGATATAGCAGGTCTATTCCATCCCCAAGCCACCAGGGGTTAAACGACTTGGCGAATATCGTTAGATTGAAACTATCTCATTAAGGATATATATGATTAATGCGTGCAATGCTTGTCGTACGAAAATGATGTTTATTTTATTAAGTAAAACTTGTGCAAGTCTGTCTTTTGGTCGACAATAGGCTGACAAGTAAAAAATACTTTATCATCGACATAGTAATGTAAAAGTATAATTTCTTTTACAGACATCAATGCATTGTGAATGCAGCATGTTGTCTTGTAATGCTACTGACTATGTGCACGCTTTGTTGTTACAGACCGGAATGACAGCAGTTTGCTGGGCGTTTGACTCTCAGAAGTTTGATTCATTTAATTTGATCCTCGGCAAGATGTCACCCAAAGATAAAGAACATTTCATCAAGGTAAGCAGCGTGAAAGTTAGGGAAACAGACATTATTGCGGGGACATGGTCATTTTGGTCTGCATAGACCATCTCGTCAGTCGATAAATGTCAATTGAAAATCTTTTAAGAATTTCCGTCATAATATGACGATCACCCTAACATTATGACAGAAAGACATGAACAGGTCCAAGTGGAAAACATTCAGGTATTCTTAAGAGTTCTTGGTTTTATCAGTTCACAACAATTGTTTGGTTTTGGAGTTTAATTTAGAGCTGTACAATGGAAAAATAATTATTATCATACGTTATGTAAGACATTGTAGATGGTTTTGTTTTTGTAATAAACATTAATTGGTTATGGGTTTACTACCTTTATTATTTTTCCTATCTTGCTTTTAATTTCTAATTGGGTTGTTTTCCGCAGAGCCGAACGGAAAGGATGAAGAATCCCTCTTGTGAACACGACAGTGAAAGTGATATCGCATTTTACGAAGATATACTGATTCCAATGTTCAAGCGTCTTGCGACCATAAAAGACTTTCGCGACGCTATTCTGAAGCAGAAGTTCATTCCAAGTGCAGTGTCTGTGTTTACTAAGCTAATGAAACAGCCAGCCTGTATAACCGGAATCTGTTTCGTCGTCTCTCTTTGCATGACTCAACACGCTGTCGTGGTCGACGAGGCCGTTGTCATACAATTCATCCGCTGTCGTGGACCAGAGTTTCTGATCAAAGCACTAAAATGCTTCTCCGATACTCCTAGAACGGAACCCGAAACCTGTGTCGTGTGCTTCTTCCCACTAGCCTGCATGGGCCAAACGTCAGAGGGCAAGGAATGGCTGGAAAAGAACAGCACAAAAGTCATACAACACGTGGATGTCAAACCGCACTACAACACTGCCAAGACTGCTATGGAGAGCTTCGGTGACAAAGGTGTCGCAATTTGGACCAATTTCTGGGATTATTATGAAAAGATGACTCAGTACCAGATGGATAGAAAAATGGCAGAACTCCTTGAGGAAGAAGAACGTGAAAGGGTGCTGAAAACAAAGAAAAGAGAAAAGAAGATTCAAAAACGCCAGACCAAACGGCAGCAACGAAAGGATGTGCAAGCTACTGTTGCAAAGACCGAAGAAATGAAAGGAGTGACAATGGCAAGCGACCAGTCACATGGAAAAAACATTGGAGAAATTACAAATATTGTCAACAATGTAGAGCCTATATCTAGAAGGCCACAAACTACATATAACGACATACCAAACAAACACGACAATCGCTCGATAAACGACGTCATCATTAATTCCAGGAAACCCCATGTTCCATCTAAGCAAGCAAACGATGATGTCATCACAATCTCCAAGAAACCCATTGTTCCAATCAAACAGGTTCAGGATGATGTTATCGTCATTTCCAAGAGACCACCAGTTGAATTCAAGAACAAGCAGGAAACAAATAGGAAGGGAATAAGTGACATCTCTTTTGGCAATGTACCAAATAGTGAACATGGAGATGACATTTCCTTCATGTTGCAAATGGAAATGGCGGCATTACAAGGTGTTATAGATCCATGTTTGTATGATTTCTACAACGTGCGTAGGGAAAACCAATGGGTAACCGTTCAGGGAAAGAAGGAACGAGCAAAGGCAAACAAAGCTGTGGAAGAAGTTATGGAAGCTGTGCCTGGTCTCTGTCAAAAATTGGAGTCGGCACTAGAGGACCAAATTGATGAAGTAAAAAAAGATGACATAAGACAGCGCCCAAACCAACGACAACGGCGTGCGAATAAAGGCAACAATGGTCCCAGATGGGCTGACATGGTGAAAGGCAATGAAATACCAGAAAAGGAGCCTGAGCCAGTAAGGCATATTCAAGGAACATATGCCGACAGAGTTGTAGGAAAGGCATACGAAGATAACTTTCCTGCTCTGGGTGGAATGCCACACGTAAGGGGTGAACAAAAAAAATGTGAACAACAACTGCCACCGGGACAAATGGAACAGCAAAGCTTGTGCAATGTTGCTACTGCGGTCGAAAGTACTACAACAGATAGTGAAGACTTACGTTCAGAATTTACGTCCACGGACAGTGTTGCAGATGGTGACTGTGGCAGGATGACGCCATCTTCGGGATACAACGACAACAAGGCTGTCACTGACTGTAGTTCACCAATTCATTGTGGCGATATCTATGTGTCGCCAACAAATGATGCTCGCCTGGAATATGAATTGGAGGTTTGTCCACAACAGAAAGACGCGTCACTCATTGCGAATACAAGAAGTGAGCGTACAACGAACCTGTTTGACATTGCTGAAAGTGTCCTGTTTGAAAAGAAATGCACAAATATTGAAGAACCAAAAGCAAATAACACACAGAAGACAGACTTCCTTGGTTTACCCATCAGGAGCGGAGAACATAATTTCGAATTTCTATCATCCGCTAAAACATTAACACCAAATGAATGGAATTTAGAGGAAGTCGTGCAAAGGCCCAAAAATGCAGATACCGCTGAACAGAATGAAGGTAATCTTGAGAAAGGTAAAGGAGATGCAAGAGAGGAGTATTTCCCGGAGTTGGAGAAAAGGGGATTTTCCGATGCCGTACAAGACTGGTTAAAGAACTCGTGTATATTACTTGATTCGAAGACCAAAACGAACAAGGAACCGTTGGAGGACCAGCTAAGGACTCCAGCCATGCTGTTGCAACATATACAAGGGCTCCAACAAACGCAGCTTACAAAGTTGCCATGTGGTAAGCGGAAATATAACGCAGGTGAACTAAAGCACAATCCCTTTCAGAAAGATGCCTCTGTCAATCAACTTCCATTTATACAACACCAGCAGGAATTCAAGCACAACATAGCGGTTATACAACCGATAGGTCACGGTTCAAACAGGCGAAAGGCGACAGAGCGGAACGTTTCCCGCCGGCACGTCGAAGGATTAGACAATGGTGATCACAGTCACCTGTCATTCGGAGATTCCTTACTGAGAAATGTGTCGACATTGCCTAAAGAAAAAGACGAAATATGGTTTCCGTCTGACTTAGCCGGTGATGGGTGCCCAGAAAAAAAAGATAATTACAGCATCAACGCAAGTGACATGGGTAACGATCTACCGGTCTTTCCTGGCTTTCATGATGATACTAACCCTTCAGCTTCTGGTGTACCTTCACAGCAGAACATGGATGTGCTGCTCCAACTACAACTCCTCAACTACTACCAGGTTCATTGCAAAGGACAGGGAATCAAAGGTTCTGTTTACGGTAACGATTTAGCCTACTTTTCCTCAGCCATGGGTATTTCCGAGGAAAAGATCAAATCACTCGAAAAAGTGTTTTCGTCTAGCGATGTCGACACACGTGTAGCGCAACAGAATCAACATGATGCGGTGACCACTAAAAAAGTGGATCGCCAGGTACCGTTGGGGAGGAATGCAACCATTCACCATGACCCTGACATAGATATGTCACTAGGCAAAGGTCTGCGGCCAACAAACATACCTGAACCAGCCAAGGAAATAAAAGCTACACGGCAAGTGGAAGAACATGCAGATAGCAGACATATCGTTGAAAAGAGGATACCAGACTCCTCAAAATCTTTTGTCCGAAATATACCTGGCACAGAGATTAACGATGGCACGAATATGGGTTATAAGGAGAAAGGTACATTCCAAGAAGAAATGAGGAAAGGTTTTGTCAAAACAAATGCTATCAAATGGACGCAAAGGAGTAAACGATGGAAAGACAAACTGTCTGAGATATCGAAGATGCCCCCCTCTTTCCTTAGACAGATTGGCGACATCATCATTCCGAGGGATTATAAGGAGCGGTATACCATCCCTTACTCGTGAGTTTATTGACATATTTTAGGCCGTTCATTTTATCATTTGTTTTCAATTAAGTACGACTAATTATGTATATGTATAACCATTGTATGGAAGGAAAATTCGGCAGTGTCTGTTGGTAAAGTTTTAAATATTTCTATTTGTTAAAAAGTTTAAGAGGTGTCTGTAGGTTGATTACATTTTAGAGGTGTCTGCACGAATAAGTTAATAACATTTTAGAAGTGGTGTATACACGTTGATAAAGTCTTAGAGTTGTCTGTATGTAAAGCTTAAGAAGTTGAGTGAACACGTTGACAAAGTCTAAGAGGTGTCTGTATGTTGATTAAGCTTTTTAAGTTGTGTGAACACGTTGATAAAGTCTTATAGGTGTCTGTATGTTCATAAAGCTTTAGAAGTGGTGTATACACGCTGATAAAATTATAGAAGTGGTGTATACATGTTGCTAATGTTATAAAAGTGCCAGTTCGTTGATAAAGCTTTATAACTGTCTTCACGTTGATAAAGTTTTAAAAATAACTTTGAGTTGGTAAAGTGTTAGTGTTGTCTGTACGTTGGTAAAGTTTTAGAGATTTCTGTACGTTGATACAGTTTTAGAGATGTCTGTACTTTGATGCAGTTTTAGAGATCTCTGTACGTTGATACAGTTTAAGAGATGTCTATACTTTGATAAAGATTTAAAGATGTCTATACGTTGATAAAGGTTTAGATATGTCTGTACGTTGATACTGTTTTAGAGATGTCTGAACTTCGATAAAAGTTTAGAGATGTCTGTACGTTGATAAAGGTTTAGAGATGTCTATACGTTGATAAAGGTTTAGAGGTGTCTGTACGTTGATACAGTTTTAGAGATGTCTGTATGTTGGTAAAGTTTTAGAGATGTCTATACGTTGATACAGGTTTAGAGATGTCTGTACGTTGATACAGTTTTAGAGATGTCTGTACGTTGATAAAGGTTTAGAGATGTCTATACGTTGATAAAGGTTTAGAGATTTCTGTACGTTGATACAGTTTTAGAGATGTCTGTACGTTGATACAGTTTTAGAGATGTCTATACGTTGATACAGTTTTAGAGATTTCTGTACGTTGATACAGTTTTAGAGATGTCTGTGCGATGATACAGTTTTAGAGATGTCTATACGTTGATACAGTTTTAGAGATGTCTATACGTTGATAAAGGTTAAGAGATGTCTGTACGTTGATACAGTTTTAGAGATGTCTGTACGTTCATACAGTTTTAGAGGTGTCTATACGTTGATAAAGGTTTAGAGATGTCTATACGTTGATACAGTTTTAGAGATGTCTGTACGTTTATACAGTTTTAGAGATGTCTGTACGTTGATACAGTTTTAGAGATGTCTATACGTTGATACAGTTTTAGAGATGTCTATACGTTGATACAGTTTTAGAGATGTCTGTACGTTGATACAGTTTAGGAGATGTCTATACGTTGATACAGTTTTAGAGATGTCTATACGTTGATACAGTTTTAGAGATGTCTGTACGTTGATACAGTTTTAGAGATGTCTATACGTTGATACAGTTTTAGAGATGTCTATACGTTGATACAGTTTTAGAGATGTCTGTACGTTGATACAGTTTTAGAGATGTCTATACGTTGATACAGTTTTAGAGATGTCTATACGTTGATACAGGTTTAGAGATGTCTGTACGTTGATACAGTTTTAGAGATGTCTGTACGTTGATACAGGTTTAGAGATGTCTATACGTTGATACAGTTTTAGAGATGTCTATACGTTGATACAGTTTTAGAGATGTCTATACGTTGATACAGTTTTAGAGATGTCTATACGTTGATACAGTTTTAGAGATGTCTATACGTTGATACAGTTTTAGAGATGTCTATACGTTGATACAGTTTTAGAGATGTCTGTACGTTGATACAGTTTTAGAGATGTCTATACGTTGATACAGTTTTAGAGATGTCTGTACGTTGATACAGTTTTAGAGATGTCTGTACGTTGATACAGTTTTAGAGATGTCTGTACGTTGATACAGTTTTAGAGATGTCTGTACGTTGATACAGTTTTAGAGATGTCTGTACGTTGATACAGTTTTAGAGATGTCTGTACGTTGATACAGTTTTAGAGATGTCTGTACGTTGATACAGTTTTAGAGATGTCTGTACGTTGATACAGTTTTAGAGATGTCTGTACGTTGATACAGTTTTAGAGATGTCTGTACGTTGATACAGTTTTAGAGATGTCTGTACGTTGATACAGTTTTAGAGATGTCTGTACGTTGATACAGTTTTAGAGATGTCTGTACGTTGATACAGTTTTAGAGATGTCTGTACGTTGATAAAGGTTTAGAGATGTCTGTACGTTGATACAGTTTAAGAGATGTCTATACGTTGATACAGGTTTAGAGATGTCTATACGTTGATACAGTTTAAGAGATGTCTATACGTTGATAAAGGTTTAGAGATGTCTATACGTTGATACAGTTTTAGAGGTGTCTATACGTTGATACAGTTTTAGAGATGTCTATACGTTGATACATTTAAGAGATGTCTATACGTTGATACAGGTTTAGAGATGTCTGTACGTTGATACAGTTTAAGAGATGTCTATACGTTGATACAGGTTTAGAGATGTCTATACGTTGATACAGTTTAAGAGATGTCTATACGTTGATAAAGGTTTAGAGATGTCTATACGTTGATACAGTTTTAGAGGTGTCTATACGTTGATACAGTTTTAGAGATGTCTATACGTTGATACATTTAAGAGATGTCTATACGTTGATACAGGTTTAGAGATGTCTGTACGTTGATACAGTTTAAGAGATGTCTATACGTTGATACAGGTTTAGAGATGTCTATACGTTGATACAGTTTAAGAGATGTCTATACGTTGATAAAGGTTTAGAGATGTCTATACGTTGATACAGTTTTAGAGGTGTCTATACGTTGATACAGTTTTAGAGATGTCTATACGTTGATACATTTAAGAGATGTCTATACGTTGATACAGGTTTAGAGATGTCTGTACGTTGATACAGTTTAAGAGATGTCTATACGTTGATACAGGTTTAGAGATGTCTGTACGTTGATACAGTTTAAGAGATGTCTGTACGTTGATAAAGGTTTAGAGATGTCTATACGTTGATACAGTTTTAGTGATGTCTGTACGTTGATACAGTTTAAGAGATGTCTGTACGTTGATAAAGGTTTAGAGATGTCTATACGTTAATAAAGCTTTCTGTATGTTCAGTTTGTTTACTTAACGAGTGGACCAGCATGGCATATGCCACAAGAACAATAAATGTGATTGTTTATTTCTGCTGCATTATGTGTAGAATTTAATACATCAGACACGAGATGACTGTATATATTCTTTATGCTACCCAATCATCCACTCCTCTCCCATACTCGTAGAAATAGGATTGCACTTTAATTAGATTTCATGATATTAGGTGTTCTGCATATATGTGTGGCCATATTTACCTCGTAAAGTACAGGCAACGTTCGTATATATGGTTGTAAGCAACTGTACTCATATCCATGTTATGTGATACTGTTTACCGGGAATCTTACGCCCTGTCAAACTTTAACCCTACGCTGGTAAAATCTGTATTCGCCCTGTCAAACTTTAACCCTACGCTGGTAAAATCTGTATTCGCCCTGTCAAACTTTAACTCTACGCTGGTAAAATCTGTATTCGCCCTGTCAAATTTTAACCCTAAGCTGGTAAAATCTGTATTCGCCCTGTCAAACTTTAACTCTTCGCTGGTAAAATCTGTATTCGCCCTGTCAAACTTTAACTCTACGCTGGTAAAATCTGTATTCGCCCTGTCAAACTTTAACCCTACGCTGGTAAAATCTGTATTCGCCCTGTCAAACTTTAACTCTACGCTTGTAAAATCTGTATTCGCCGAGTGTTGGTTTAAACCTACGCTGGTAAAATCTTCATTCGCCCAGTGTTGGTTTACATGTGATTGCTGTGTTTAATATGCTGTTTACTAATATTCGCCCTCGGTACGCCGTTTGGGAAAGACGGATACATAGTTATGTCACAAGTTTTATTTTGTACAGATGATGATTAATTCATTTGTCAATAGTTGTATTACGGGTACTTTTACAGACATCTGTTCATATTTATGACATGTCACGTACTAAAGGGACTTGTACAGATATAGAGGTGCAACCCCATGTCATTTGTTACAGGGACAGCCCGGCGGTACTGGGGCTTCTGATGGACGGAACGGAGGTGGCGGTTCACGTCATTGAGCTGTCTAGTCGACCAGTCACAGAGTCCATGTTACAGAAACTGACATCACCGGACTTCTGTCATTATTTCCTTGTGAAGTACCGGGTAAGTACCTGTTGCGGTGTGAGGTTTGTGGGTGCTGTCAGTAGATCTATACAGGTGATATTACACATGTTTTCATTATGCACGAGGGAAACATGGATGTTTGTTTCCTGTAAATTTATCCTATTTCCCGAGTAATTCTTATTTTCTTTTGTGAAATAGAAGAAAATAAAACAAATAAGCAAGAATATCAACTGCATTTTAGCTTTGTTAGCATTTATTATCATCTGACCATAAAGCGAAGGCCGTCCATTTGGCAACTATTTTTGTCTTCTTTCATATTTTCATTAATATTGGAGAATCCAGATTACATCTCTGTGTAATACATATGTTTTCGTGAACCTCACTACAGCCTGCTGCTCTCTGTCATATCTAATACAAATGTAGCTTTTCGATAGCGTGAGAAGAGCGCGAGTTCCGGTACACGATTTTAGTCTCCATGTCACATGGCCACCGCCTCGTAGCACCATTGAAGGAGTACATTGATTTCCCCTTCATTTTGTCGTTAAGAGATTCGTCAATATTTTTACCTTTTAATTGTGCTGGTATTGATTTGGAGACTCGAATCGCGATCATAGCCTCATTAGCGTGTCTGGCATTCTTCAATGATGCAAACTCATCGTTATGTGCTTAGCGCTCCCTTTTATAGGGTGTCATTTAGCCGTGCATGCCAAGACCCCAAACACACAAATATATCCTCCAATTTCACTCTGTCTTACGCATACAAAATCACGAATACCTGTCTATTGGAACTCATTAAGATAAGTAAGAAGAATGATTATCAGAATAACTGGTTGGATTGCTTAAGTGTTGTTACGACTCTATAACTAACTCGATCTAGGCCTCATTGTCATCCTACTTCTCCTTTAAGAAGCCAACATAGATGAACAAAAACTTCTTCAAGAAGTCGAAAAACGGCGTTTTAAGTTTTTAATGGTGACATTAGCAAGCAAAGCAAATTTCAAATTAAAGTCAGTGTAATTTAACCATTTTTATAACATCGTCACCGATGCAACAAAAAGTATTTCTCATGAATAAACACTTACATCCTCGAATGTTCATGCTGTCTCCTGGTACATACATGTATACACTCCCCTTGGGTGGTGACGATTTATCCTGGTACATACATGTATACACTCCCCTTGGGGGTCACGATCTCTCCTGGTACATACATGTATACACTCCCCTTGGGTGGTCACGATTTCTACTAGTACATACATGATACACTCCCCTTGGGTGGTCACGATTTTTCCTGGTACATACATGTATACACTCCCCTTGGGTGGCCACGACTTCTACTAGTACATACATGTATACACTCCCCTTGGGTGGTCACGATCTCTCCTGGTACATACATGTATACACTCCCCTTGGGTGGCCACGATTTCTACTAGTACATACATGTATACACTCCCCTTGGGTGGTCACGATCTTTCCTGGTACATACATGTATACACTCCCCTTGGGTGGTCACGATTTCTCCTAGTACATACATGTATACCCTCCCCTTGGGTGGTCACGATTTCTCCTAGTACATACATGTGTACACTCCCCTTGGGTGGCCATGCTGTCTCCTGGTACATACATGTATACCCTCCCCTTGGGTGGTAACGATTTCTCCTGGTACATACTTGTATACACTCCCCTTGGGTGGTCACGATTTCTACTAGTACATACATGTGTACACTCCCCTTGGGTGGCCATGCTGTCTCCTGGTACATACATGTATACACTCCCCTTGGGTGGTAACGATTTCTCCTGGTACATACATGTATACACTCCCCTTGGGGGTCACGATTTCTCCTGGTATATACATGTATACACTCCCCTTGGGTGGTGACGATTTCTCCTGGTACATACATGTATACACTCCCCTTGGGTGGTCACGATTTCTCCTGGTACTCACATGTATACACTCCCCTTGGGTGGTAACGATTTCTCCTGGTACATACATGTATACACTCCCCTTGTGTGTTCATGCTGTCTCCTGGTACATACATGTATACACTCCCCTTGGGAGTCACGATCTCTCCCTCCTTTCACTGAACTGTCTCCCAATTTACCTCTTCAAAAATAAGTTCTCTGTCTTTCCATAGAGTATGTCAGTTTACACCCAGACAGAATCAAAACGATGTCGTCATGGTAACAAGAAATTATGACGTCCCAATCACCTTTTGTCGGAAGATGTTAAATTTCAAATCAAACTTTTAGGATTTATGTCAGTTCAGTTTTGGTTGAAAACAATATGATGGACGAAAATGATCGCCGTCCTTTTTTTTAGTTATTTGTGCGTAACTTACGATGGTTACCACAAAACTAAGTATACGCGGTGTATCTATGATGGAGGTCATTTGACCGATTAATATGGTGAAGTTGGTGCCGGTTTGAGTAAAAACGCAGGCCGCGGTAGCTGAGTCGTTATAGCGTCTGGCCGTCAACGATCACTGATAGATAGGACGTAAAACAAAACAAACCAAGTGAGTATTAACAGGTCATATTAGACTGGCGACACAAGGGCCTCCGAATCGTGTGTTACAAAAAAGGACACACAATTGTCTATACAGATGACTTTCTTGGTGTATTACCTGTTGAGATCTTTCCTAATCACCACGTTGTCCGTGTCTTTTACTAGCTGTTTATTGTTACTAGGTTTGCAATTCCGTCTTTTCGTATTGCAGAGTTATCTGCTCTTGTGAGCAGGTATTGATTGTAACGTCATTTGCTTGTGAGAGTAACGTCATCAATTTTTGAGAAAACGACGTAATTTTCCCACACAAACCAAGGACGTAACAATCAATACCTGCTCCCAATAGAAGATAACTCTGCAATACGCAAAGACGGAATAGACAATTCATTAATTAACCTGGGTTTCCTAACGTTTCCTTTCAGACTTTGTATATGTGTTGACTTTGACTTTTTGTTTCTTTTCGGTTATCTCACAAACATTTTCCTGCGGCGATTTGTGACACGGGCACGTCAGAACATTGCAAAACATATCACAGGGAAATATTATGTCTTGTTTTCTATATATTCTTTGAATTATTTATTACCTTTCTTTTTTCATGGGCAAGGCATGCTTGACCTTTCAATGCTGTTATGTTTTTCTGAGTAAGGTGAAATAACCGTGTTGAAATGTCTCAAATGAATAAACTCATTTTTGTTTAAGAAATTTTCATTATATACATATACAGTGTATAGAAACTGTCCTACCAAAAGGCAGTGTTTCATGTTGTGGAAAGGAACTTTTTCTACCTTTTTTTCTCTCGATTTTATTCTTCGCTTTACTGATATACCAGCTTTGTAAAACCGACATGACAGGTTTAAATAAAGTTACCGTGAAAAATTCTAAGAACGTACTTACTTGTGTTAAAAGAGACAGTGATATGGTATGTGGACGCCGCTAGTTAGACACGGTGATCATAATGTATTAGCCACTTGGTACACATTTAGGATTATGATCACATGCCATTTGCTTGTATCATTGTAGGCCTTCATTATCGAGTCAGGCACGTGCTACCTGGCCATGGACCTGCACGAGTACAACTTGTCCGAGTATTTGGCCCTGCAACAGATGGACATCAACCTTGACCCATTAACCATCAACAAGATGACCTGGCAGATACTCAAGGGCATGGCGTCTCTACACGACAGCTTTGACATGATACATGGAAACATAATGGTGAGGCGAGGTCCTGTATATGTGTGTCGTGTTATGATTATAAACGAATGTTTCTGAATCAGGTTTCTATTTCTGTTGTTCCCGAACGATCGTCGTGAGACCTCTCTTGATCTTATGCGCCCTAAGTGGTTTTCTACCGATAATATACTGACATAATTTGTTTAAATGACATTTGGAAACAGCTGAAAGTGAGGCTATATAGCACCTTATAACACGGACCGAAATATTAGGATAACATCCCAGATACTTTGATCAACGTTGATGTTCCCTTTAAGTTATGCCTGAACTGATGGAGGTGGAATATGCCACGTATTTTGTCTAAGAAGCCGTATGTCTTAGTTTGTAAATATTTACTGTGTGTAAGTTAAATTATTCATACTAAACAGACATTTTAAATCCGTTTGGTTTGTTTTATCTGTACAGCCAAGTAACGTTCTTGTGGATGTCGAGGAGAAGCTGTGTTTGAGCGAGTACTCCCTTCCCACACTAGGTGGCACTGCTCGCGCCTTATTCCCAACCTCTCCAATGTCAGGTAAAATTATTGCGATGCTTATTGCTTTCTCTAACGATTTTATGTTTTACTTGTGTACACTTCATATCAGAAATACTTGTCCTGTGTGTTTTTTTGCAGAGTTATTGCCCTTTATATGGATGATTTTAATCTCGTCTGTACGACTAGTCAATTAGTTTTCGCCGTCACATTTCTCAGAGACGACGTAAGCGTTAGAACGATTAATTTCAGTTACGCATAAAAAAAACTGTTATCAAGCTAGCCGTGTGTTTTCTAGCAGTGTCATCATCACATGTGACTGGAATCTGAACCAGTTGCTTTATAAGATCACTCTTATATCTTATTCCATACATCAAATTCATCCAAACGCTTCAAATAACAATACTTAGTTAATGACGTGCTTTCAACACATATACCATGTTATGTTTTAAGTGTCCTTACTTGATGCACCTGCAAATGTTAATGCAGGTATTTAGGCGGTAAACCTCTGGCCAAAGTGTCAATGTGTTTGCTCGTCAAAAACGAAAAAGAATTACTGGCAATAGTATGACAGGCTATCAATGTATGTTCTTATTATTTCCATCCTACTTACCTCATTTGTGTTTGTTTATTATGATGTCCGCCTAGTTATTTTTCAGGATATAATATTTACGTGTTAAAACACCTCATTTAACGTATCACTTATAGCTTACTTCCTTTAACCGATCCCTCCCTCCTCTCTACAGAAACAAGAGCCAAGCAGTCAGCTTTTATATACTATGTAGTACTACCATTTACCACATACCTGTTGAATCTTGTTATAGTAATACATAGAGAATAATACATGCCTTTTTCCATATCACACCCAGTATCAACCCGAGACTGCAATATCAGCCCAAGGGCCGAAGGCCCTAGGGCTGATATTAGTCGAGGGTTGATTCTGGGTGTGATATGGAAAAAGTCATGTTTTATTCTGTTTATTACATACTTACTAAAAGCTACTATCTTTTGATATTTTTTTTCTTTTGAAATATTGAAAAACGAAAAAAAAATCCAAAAGGGGTGTGATACGGGTTTTGCGGGCTGATACGGGTTTTTGGGTGTGATACGGCGGGGGCTGATACGGCTGTTGGGGTGTGATACGGCGAAGGCTGATATGGGTAAGAGCAATTATTACCCCTTTGAGAAAAATCTAGGAATCTGATTGGTTAAAAACTACAGTGTACCAACCCGCATTCGTAAATCTCAGGGGTTAAACGACAATCTCAGGGGGTATACGGTCATGTCACGTGATTCTCAGCAGTAATACGGTGGAATCACGTGATTTTACAATCACCTGTCTTTGTATCTTGCGGCGGGGCAAGTTTACAAAATGGCAAAACGTTTCGCTTCGCATACTGTNTAGCACATGTGCAATACAGAACGTTGTATTTCATGGTCTGAAAATTGCTTGTATTACATACTTACTAATAAATACGGTTTTTTTTGTATATGCGATACGACACAATATTAGTTACACGGATTTTTGGCAGGGTATACGGGATGGTATGACCCTACAGGATTTCGTATTTCTTTCGGCCTATCGGCCTCAGGAAATACGAAACCCTTTATGGTCATACCATCCCGTATACCCTGCCAAAAATCCGTGTAACTAATATTGTGTCGTATCGCATATACAAAAAAAACCGTATTTATTAGTAAGTATGTAATACAAGCAATTTTCAGACCATGAAATACAACGTTCTGTATTGCACATGTGCTATTCCGTCTTTGCGTATTGCAGAGTTATCTTCTCTTGTGAGCAGGTATTGATTGTTACATCATTGGTTTGTGAGAGTTACGTCATCAAATTTTGAGAAAACGACATAATTTTCTCACACAAACCAATGACGTAACAATCAATCCCTGCTCACAAGAGAAGATAACTCCGCAATACCCAAAGACGGAATACGGAATGTTGTATTTACCTACTAGCCGGACCTACTTTTTATGAGAATCTCCTTGTCATGGAGAACTGAAAAGTTCCCGGTATTTGCAAAAAATATCAAAGTTATAAAATCTTTGTATCGATTTCTACCTTATACGGAAGGTATGTGATAAAAGCTCCGCGCACTCATGAATATATTCGTCCGCGCAATACACTCGTGCTTTCTGATTCGTTAGAAAAACACAAGTGTGTGGTCTTGCATATTTATATTTCAATTAATAAATCAAATATTTGTATTTGGTGTAATTAAATTGTAAATATCAGTGAACGGTTGAATCCTAGTAAACTAGTTTTTAGGTTTTCACAAGTGATACAGATTGAATGTGTACTTTTGCATGATTTTAAACATTTACGAATAATTTAGGTCATCGTGTTATCACACAAATACTGAACCTAAAAGGTTATGATTTTGCTGGTAGCGCGTTGGGAGTCAATACAACCAGTTCATGGATCAGGATAAAATATAAAAGAGGATATTTGATAACGTTTCTCTTTGAATACCATACATATTTCACGTGTATGGCAGACTGTTTTAATATTTTGCACCAGCACAAAAACATATTGATTGAAGTATTCTTCCGCACCCGAGAAATGTAAATAGTTATAACGCAAGATCATTAAATATTCTGTTTCCTGAAAGTTTTTTTTTATGACGTCGACCTGTGATGACGTCACAATACCAATGCCGAACAAGAACATTTTAAGCTATACGGTTATATTAATTATTTTTGTGTTCTTCTTTTTCATCGGTTTAAATCGGAGAAAGTTACCAATAAAAAATCTTATAATTTTCTCACTCTACTGAAAACATTTCCCGATATTTCACCAGTAAAAATATAATATATTTTGTTTAACTGCCTGTTCGTGGCCAAATTAGTACATCAGTAAAATCTTGTTGTTATTGCACTGTAATGCTGAAAAATGAAATAATCAGAACTTACGGTTCTCAGTGACATGCCTGTTTAGTACCATAAAGCATCAGTGTTTATCGCTCAGGGATCAAATTAAAATACGGGGCAAAACACGACAATTTTAACGAATTTTATTGATATTATTTTTTTCAACGAGGAAAACGCCTATAACTTAGGTGATATTTCCATCATTGTCATTTCGTGATTGTTAAATGATATTGAGGCTATTTTCCCCATATTAATTGCCATTAGTATTTTTCGGGCCAACGCAAAAAATGTAAAATTTTGGAAAACTTCCAAGTTAGAGACTCGCAGCAATTTCTCAAGTGACATATTGGGTCTTACCCTCAGGTAATATTCAAATAAAAATGAAGTTGCATGCTGGTGATTTTCTTGACTGAAGAGCCATACCAACTTAAGATGTTTTCATTAGACAGAATGTCATTGTGTTATGGTTATCTTTTAGAGGCACTGGTCGCAACTACAAGATACGTTTTTTTAGCGCAGTATATTTACATATGAAGAAAGTTCCAAGGCTTTTCCAAAACTTATTCCGGACGCTTATCAATTGACCAATGATTTTTTTTTTAATAAATTATTATATTCCTTCAAAATTAATATCAGTAGTATTTATATAATATGAAAATCGTAGCAGACATTCCTTAAAAATTATAATAATCTTCCAGGAATGCAGTGACCACGTTAAAATATTGACCTTCTTGAACTTGAAATCACTGACCCTACAAACTATTCAGCATCATCCGCATACGTGGATCTTTACATGACCAGCAGTGATGGTTTACAAGCTATATGATAGTAGTGGAAAGTTTGATGTTGATACCGGGAACCTTTTCTTTCATGATAGTATCAATTCTTCTTCCCCAACTTATATGTGTGCATGGTGAAGTTTGATTCGATATCCACGGGCTTGCTCCGAATATCACAATTTCTTGGATAGGTGTCAAATGCTGACGGACAAAGTAATAACACACGGTTTAGAGATATGCAGGTTGACTATGGGGCCTTTGGTCGGCATCATGATTCGATGTGCTATATGAAAATCGATATTTTTGATCATGCCGGTATTGTGCCGTGAACTTTTGTTGTCACTTCCCTGGTTCTCCTTTTGAGGGCATGACATGTCTTGGATTTTATCTAGATTTACATGCTGGGTGTTTTCGATGATGCAAAAGACTCTTTTACTTCTGGAACACATTATGTTATCATTCTTTTACTTTTTAATATACCTCTTTTGTCCATAATTTGCCCTAATTTCATATATTTTGAGTTCAAATCACGGCTTAGTTTACTTTTCTGTATTTGCCTTGTTTTATTTGTCGAAATGACTTTGGAGTTTTTATTCCAGCTGACCGATACTGCTGGATACCAACAGAAATCGTGACTGAATCCGGAAACTACAGCAAACAGTCTGACATACAGGTATTGTGTTACGTCTCCTACGTATTACTGTTTCTTTATCCTCTGTCTTACACCTTACACTTAACCCGACATATACACATGTCTAGCTTCTTAACTCGACTTATAGATATTTCCTTACGTAATGTAATTGCCTGACATGTATGACGTACCCGACTTCTACATGTTTAAACGATGTTTTACGTTTCTTAGGTATGCATATATTTCTCTCATTCCTTTGCGTGTATGATAGAATAGTTCTGGGCAATAAAGATGTGTAGGACATTTTGTAACGTCTTTTTTATGTGCGTGATGACACAGGTGGACGCCACAAAATTTGGAAACTCTGATGCAGCGATGTGGAAACTGCCTCCGTAATGAAATCCAAAACTAAAATAATTTATTAATCGGAGTAGTTAGAAAAAAGGTGGAACTTTTGGTGGAATGCCGTATACTAAATCTCGCTGACCATTTCGTTTTGTTCAAAAAGCATAAAGCAATGGTTAATATTTTACAAATATGAACAGATCCAAACACCTTATCAAGGTTTCAGAGGTAATTCTAGCGACAAGAATTATAGAAAAATACTCTTCGGTTGTAGTGTAGGGATTTCAAAAATGGGGCAAAAAATCTTGTCAAATTTCGTGTTTAGCTCAATTTGAAAACCCCACAGGTAGACTTTTTTTTATCTTTAGCCTCTGCATATGAAAAAGTCGTATGGCCATACATCTTAGGCTGAACTGACAAATATGTCCTACACTTTAGACTTACCAATATATCCTTTCACAGGATATGATTACTTTGTACATGTTAAATCTACCAGCACATCTTTACCCAGGGTATACCATGATCGTCTGACGTCTCACACTAGGTGTGGTCTTCATTCCAAGGTAAAATAGCGGTCTGCTTCAATTTGAAACATTTATGTCTACAATTCCTCTTTCGTTAAGAACGATTTGCATGATCCCAACCTATACATATGGGAGCAATTGATAGGGAACAGTAGAACGACAATCAAATGATGTTTGGTTATGTACTCAATTACTGTTTATTGTTTGAAACACCTTACATAATCAATATTTGATACTTCTGTATTCCAAGTAAAGATAAAGTATCTAACAAGTTTTATTGTTATCACCTAGGCTAGTTGATAGTCAAATTCACTTATTAACACTTTCGTAATTGGCATTAAACTAATGCTGATGAATGTCATCTTCACGAACAAAGCGATGCGATCCAATAGGTACGGTACGTCGGGCAAAGTTTGTCCATCACAACGGTAACCTGGTTATACAATCTACACGGCATCCATTACGTACATTTATGGTCTTACTTATCACGCGATCTAAATTCAATTATTGTTGTTGTCATCCAATCTCACACACTGGTAATGTGTATCTGTATGCTTCTCATGCTTCAGAACAATTAGCGTATAGCTTTTTGCTAGCTAATGGTAGAGGCGGAAACCACCAAAGTAGGTTAGGGATAAGCCTTTGAAATATCTATCAGGAAGCATTGTGTTGTTCTTGTTTGAACTACAAGAAGATGTTCATCAAAATAAGTGTAATTTTCATAAATGCTGGACGCAGCTAAGAGTTTATTCATAGTAATAATACACTGTAAGGATATTACCCATGAACTATCAGTATGACCAGTTCCACAAATAGGCTGTTTTCACATACTATGTTCTTGAAGTGACAGAGCATGAACAATGAAATAAATCGGGACTTTCGTCAGCGTTTGTTGATTTGTTAATCTACAAGATAAACCACTGTTACAACACTTTGAAATAAAATATTTCATGATATGTGATACTTTCACAAAAAGCGAGGTCTTTAAAAAGAAAAACTCTATTTAACATATTTTGTTTGTTTGTGTTTGAATGCTTCCTACTGTGTATTAACAGACTGACATGGTGTTGTACCTATAATCCAATAAAATGCCGAATCAATGTGGCTACCGCCTCATCTTCATTTATCAGACAGCCCGAATAATAATTAAATTAGAGTACACATTTGTTTTGTCGTTTCTGATTGTCTTCTCTTCCGAGTTGATTTCGTTGCAGTTGTGCTGTGGATTCGGGGAACAACTGGATCGCAGGTGTATGGACGTCTTAGTTCCGGACATCTATATCCATGGCAACCACAACAACAGCAAAATAACTGAGTTAATACTGTCAATCTTTTCACACATGAAGCTGCTCTCAATGTGTCATTTTAAAATATATGCCAATTGAAACTTGATTTGGAAATTTTTCTGCAGCTTTGATGTTGGTAAATGATAAGCAATTAAAAACTATTTCATAACACATACACGATCATGGTTCACCAAATAATATCATAGATTAAACAAATAGTATCTTGTTAAATGTTAATCAGGTGTTTGTTACAGACTGTATATATAAACTGATTGATTGCTGAGTATAAAGTATAGATAGTACGGTATTGTCCCGGTATTTCATTCTGATTCCTTGATCTTTTCGAGTTTAAAATACTTGCTTGCAAACACCTTATAATAAATGTCCTCGTACGTTGGCGCGGTGGTGCGTCTGCTGTGCGTTTGTGTCTCATTGCAGGTGACTGGTATGTTGTCGTACTACATCATGACCGGAGGGAACCACCCGTATGGAGAAAACAACCTCGCGATTCAGGTCGGCATCCACCAAAACTGGCCGGACATCAAATACCTCGGCGACGAGATCCACGATTTGCTGTCTAACATGCTTTGTATGCCACCGCAAAACCGATCTTGCGTAGGGGATCTGCTCAAGTAAGTCACCTTAAAAAGATATTAGTTTGACACATCATGTCATATAACAAGAGACTCATCAGAAAGCTAATGCATACGGAGAAAGGAAATATCACAAGTTTTACAAAGGCGTCAACATACCAGTGTTGGTCTATTCAATATATTTTAAGCACAAGATACAAAAGAAAGAATCACAAGTTTTGTTTGATAACTAGCAAATAAATAAGATGAATGTATAAGTCTAAAGAAAACAATGCAAGCAACGACTTTTGGACGCTACATGTTTACTGTTGCCCCTAAAGAAACGTGATAACATAACGGAAAATGTTATAGAATAGAAAATATGGAGTTACTGACAACATGATTATGTAGTTTCAATGCTTACGTAAAGGTCAAAACAAAACACAACATCGTAATATTGGTATACTTCAGGTAAGTGTTGAAAACGTATCGAGAGCGTTGGAGTGTGTGAACCTGAAACAAACTTATAACATTCATGGTTGGATAAGGTTTTAGATATAACTCCTGGCTTTAACATTGGTTACAGACATCCTTATTTCTGGGCGAACGAGAAGCGCCTTCGGTTTGTTCTTATCGCTGGCTCGGACGTTCTCCGGGACATGAAACTGGGGTAAGTGTACCGATAGCATAAAACTCTGCAATTAGCTATGTTATAATATCCTCTTATGAGATTCTTACGGTTGATAACGGTGAAAAGTGCTAGTGATATCATTTATCGAACAGTGGGCTTCCTTGTTATCGGAAATTCATTGTTCTAATTAAGGTAACAACTCAAATTGGGTTTAATTATCTCGTCATTTCGCTATTTTCGTATTTAGGAAATCGTTGTATTTGAACAAGCCAACAAATGTTTTTCCTATTTAGGAGAAAAACTGAAATTCCAAAAAATCCAAAATGTTTTACTTTGAATTCCATCAATGAACAAATCGTGTGATATACAGTGATTTTCTTCTGGTCTCATTATGTATTAGACGTCATTTCCTTAATGACGCATTCAAGTATTTTTTTTCCAATATTTCAAATAAACTGAAAACATGATATAATTTCCCCGGATTAAAATGATGTCGTTATGTTTTGTATCAGTAGGCATAACGAGTGTTTTTTTTTCTTTATTTCAGAGTTCCAACCTTCGGTGGTACGGGCGGCACCATGATCGACATCATCAATGCAGTCGGCTGTGACGCAAACGATTGGGTAAGCATGTAAACATGATCTTATGTACTTACATTTTGATATTAAATATTGATAGGAATCATATTTTACATATTGTGTTTTTGCAGTAGTATCATCAATTAACCTTTTAGTCACGATAAATGTGATCAATTTGTATTACTTTCACAGAAATCCGAAACGCAAATACAGTACTGCCAAAAACATTCTTAAAACTGCGGGTTTTGGCCCTTCTTATTATCAGCACAAAATATTCTATAACACCTTCATGGGAATGTGCATTGGTGGTTTTCGTGGTTGAGGTGAAACAGGAGGAGATAATATTATAATGTATGAACTATCCACTATATATACACCGTATATTTGTATAGGGTAGTATATAGAAACAGAAATTCGTGCTAGAGTGTACGCATGCTTGTTTTGTGTTATACAGTCTGTAGAAATGTTCTGCGACCGAACGCTAGTAACATTTAATTGCAGGCCCGAAATGTTCAAAATTTCATATCGATGACGATGAAACAACACAGATTTAATTTGAAATAACTGTTCTTGTAAGGGATCTGCCCTTTAGCATTATATGTACTTTAGTAGGGGATTTCATGTGTAAATAGCTGCTGTATGTGAATGTGATGGTATCGTTTGTATTTGATGATGTACTTGTTATTTGACGCCTCAAACGTTCTGTTTCGGTGTTGTGTACCGTGATAGTGAAGGATAGGGGAGCACATACAACAAAAACACTTGGGTCGCAGTCTGTCGCCTTACCGTCTGTTTTGAAAAGATGCATCATCGCCTACGGAACGTTTCGGGCAAATCAGCATGAGGATCGTGTGCTGTTTTTATGTGGTCATATTTTTATCTCAATAAATGTTGCACTTTAAGATGTTCTTTTGTATCTATCAACTGGAAGGGTGCTTTACAAATATTGTAACTACTACTATTGCAATGTGTAGATGCTGAACGCCTGTTTCTCTGTAGATGTCACAGGTTGACCCAGTAATCATGAAGGAGATGCGGTCGTTCCGTCAGTACAAGAACACTCTAGTGGAGCTGGTCCTTTTCGTTTACAACTGCTGTCTCCACTTCGAAAAAATGTAAGTATATTTAAGCCTCGTGATGTCGAAGTTCCACATATTCTGGTTTATAAAAATATAGCTTTTTTTTTATTTTGAAGTCAAGATGAACAAAATCTATTCTGTTAAGGATACGTTGCGATTGCCTCTGTGTCGTGGTCAGGATGAGCCGGATTTCCCACATATTCTAGTCAAATAATTAACATTGAACTGTACGTCAAGGTCGAGATGATGAGTATATGACAATGAAGTGCCACACAACCAATATTAATCGAGATATTTCAGTTCGTTTTAATGAGACTGGATTGTAATATTGACAAATTTCCCTGTTTTAATTCTACTTAATGGTGGTGGTGGTGGTGGTGGTAAAATGTTGAGTACCTCAACGCAGAAAGCCAGACAACGTTAATATTTCCTACACAGTATGGTACTGGGCAGCAACGGCAAGTATGACAAGTAATACTGTTGTAATGCTGGTTGATGATGAAATTAAAAGTTAAGAACCACCAAAAGAACACACATTCGATGCGTTTAAGTTTAACCAGCTGAAACAGCATCTCTCCAAATATAACCAGATCTTGACACATCTAAAGGAATTACCTAATTTCACACGCATGGATGATACAGGGGATAGTTTATCTTTCTCGTTTTGTACTTGAATAAGCTTTATGTAGATGCTCCAAAAAAGCCACTATGCAGTATTTTATGCCATGCCCATACATTGCCAACGTTAAATGTTTTTCATTTATTATAAATTTATTATAAATTTTAAGACTCATTTCAGCGTGGTTTTAATAAATTTGGTAGGTACATATATAAACTTACAGCTTCATGTGATTATAAGTACAGTGTAAGATGTACACTGAAATAATACATGGGGTTCTATACAAATAACAAACGCCTTATTTTAGAGCTACGAGTTTTATAAACTGGGCTTATGGCGACAATATTACCTGCCAGTGTCATTAAATCAGTTTTAGATCGAGTAAAATGTATTCAATGAGTTGTTTGTACATACATAGGTATAAACGTTGTTAATTTTCAGAGGAAACGTTTTTTATTTTATTTTTTACATAAAAACAGTACATAACCAAACTTCCTAGAACACCCCCTGTTATATTTCTGTGTATTGATATTCTAAAAGTAAGATTCAAAAGATTTGCTTCGCTAAAACAGACAAAAGGCTTTCAGTAGAACATATCTTCAAAGTTTAAAGATAATATCATAGTAACTTTGATGTGGTTTTACATGTTAAAACAAAGAAAACTAATAGTTTACGCTCAGGACCTGACAAAACTTGATCGTGCAAAAATTTAACATTAGCCATTCACATACCATATAGGCATGGTATTAATACGTAATATCGACAGGAAAAGATACGAAATTAAAGTTGCCAGAACTCATTCTTTTATAACCTTTCATGTGTTTGTCACTGTAGATAAAATGTCTCTATTTTCAATCAAGTTGGCAACGACTGGAGAGCTAATAAATGTGGTTGTCACGTTTTAATAAAAACCTTGGTGATATCGATTTGTCGCTACTAAAAATTGGAACTTTTAGCTCGTACATAATTAAATCCAATATAGATCCTGACAAGATAATGATACAGCCAGACGATTGTGCCTACTGTTTGGAGAGGACGTGCTCGGCAGTGTATGCAGTCTATTATAAGTATAATCAAAATGCGCATATCGTGTTAGGTGAGCATTTAACCCAATCAGCTGTGTCTGTAGGCCGTGTATTAACCTGTGTTTTATACCGAACTGTGTCAAGTGTGGTTAATCCACACAACTTTACACCGGTTATTATATACCGGCGTAATTCTGTAGTTACAGATAATGATTCAATTTTGTATTAAGACCGCTATAAAACTGAACCAACTTAACGTTTTTACATAGACGGCTTTGTTAATAATGAAATATTTCCATTTTGATACGTGTCAGTGTGGCAAATGAAACGAAGACAAAACTGGAAAATATATAATTGAGCCGCCGGCTGGGATTTGGGTCCTTAACTTCTAGCTAATGAAAAGGGAGAAAAACGGGAATTCCGACAGACGTCATATTTCTATTCTATTTCTGTTTCGCGCGGAAACGGAAATCTCACTTGTTTTACAAAAATGTACTATATAACTTGTATTATTCACAAAACATATACATATAATGTAACTACTGAAACTAGAAAGCTATCTCTTAATTATTCAAACAATATCATACACTTTAGATATCAATAATTAATCAAATTGACTTAAATATCCAAGCGACAGGGATTTCCGTTTTCTGGTGCTCACACTTCCGGTAGATTGTTTACATTCGCTATGGAAGATGACAGACACAGTGGCTGCGTTTAAACTTGTGAGATGTAGCAGCCTATCTTCCACCCAATTTAAAGTATATGAATTTATGTGATAGTGTGATCGCTGCAGAGCTAGACGATCTGTTCAGTCACTTCTTTCCCGTTTCTTCGGCTAGTAATCGTGCTAAATGTTGGCCAAGTTCTGGCGTGTGGGACAAGGGGGTGCAGGCTAACTTGCACGTCTACATTTATACAATGTGACTTGCAGTTTCAAAACACAAATAAGTCAATCGACAAGTCATGTCGAGGATGTAAGGACGCATTTTTGATGCAGTTCTTCGGATGCATGGGAACACTTAATACTAATATTAATACCCGGCCTCCTCTGCCCCGATTAAAAAAATGTCGTCGTCAGAAAGCTACGTTACCGCAGCTAGGGAACACCCAGAAGAAAGAAAAACATGCTGTAAAATATGAGGTATGTAAACATTAAGAAAAATATGTGTATTTTTTATTGTATAATGAGATAAATGACCAAATGCTTTTAATGAATAGAAAGCGACAAATGTCGCCAGACAAAAACTATAAAAATACCGAATAAAGTAAGCGACATCAGAAGATTTGTTGTTAATATGACTATAATACACCTTTATATCAAATTTCAATTTGATATTTAAAAAATTGACCGAGTTATGATGAATTGAATTTTACGATCTGCGGCGTGGCAAGTGTGTGTAATAACCTGTAAAGTTAAGAAAGCGTCACTAGACAATATCTTTAAAAACTCTTACTAAAGTAAGCGACATCAGAGGATATGTTATGAATAAGACTTTTATTGATATATACTCCAAATTTTAGGTAGATATATGAAAAAACGACCGAGTTATGGTGAATTTATTTTTTACGATTGGCGTCGTGGAACACGTGTGCGAATTGAACTCCGCAGATCGTGAAGCGTCTTCAAACTATATCCCTATTTTTTTTTTTATAAAAGTAAGCAACATCAGACGATATGTTATTCATATGACTATAACCACGGACTTAGATAATTCCGTGCTATAACACACTTTTATACCAAATTTCAGTTTGATATTTGAAAACATTGACAGAGTTATCGTGAGATAAATTTTACGATGTACATGTAAAAGTATGAAAATTTACAGCGTATCACACATGTTAATCCGAATTATTCTGAAGTTTTATCGACTTTTTTCATACCGGTCTGTCGTCGATTAACGTCAGAACTCCGGCCCTCTATAATATGCGGTAAATATGCGACCCGCGCCCGGAGCGCACTTCAAACTGATATTTTAGAAACAAATCGTCACTTTCACACACATGTCGCACATGGATCGAAAGCTCTGTTCTTTATGTACAAGATGAACATACATAGCATGCCTCAACCAATACAATCACTAAAAACATATTTCTTCAAACTTACTCTGTTTTACTCTAGTTTTTTGGTAGCCCCGCCTTCTAATGTCACATGACTAAAATCTCGCCGGCCTACGTCATAATGTTGGTATTTCGAGATCTCGTCAAGTCATGTGACATTGCTCATGGCCTAATTTCCATTAAAAAAATGGGTTGGTATAGAAAACGTTGGAAAATACTTTTCGTAATGTTTTTTGAAACATGTTATTGATACCACCTAGTGTATAAAGAATAGATCTTTCGATCCATGTGGGACATGTGTATGAAAGTGACGATTTGTTTCTAAAGTATCAGTTTGAAGTGCGCTCCGGGCGCGGGTCGCATATTTCCCGCATATTATAGAGGGCCGGAGTTCTGACGTTAATCGACAACAGACCGATATTAAAAAAGTCGATAAAACGTCAGAATAATTCGGACTACACACATGTGTGCACACATATATAAGGACTTCGCATAGCTGAACACGGCCACTCCGGATTATATTGGTGTGTAAACACTGGTTTAGCATTTTGTTTGTTTTATTATTTGTTGTTTTCCTCATCATAATGGATGATTTTATTTCAGTTCCATGGATGATTTTTTTCCAGTTCCATTCTTTGTAGAAGTTATCAGACCGCTACGGACTCTTTGTCCGTAATATATGTTCGTGTGACTATATATATGTAATGTGTTTTAAAACATATAAAAACTGCGTTTTTATTTGTAGACTTATAAATAAAAATAAGATAAAAAATAACTTTTAATAAAGCTTAATGCTTAATACCGTCTGTTTTTTCATATTTTTAGCGATTCCTGCGGTATTGTTAACATATCATTCGTAGAAGTAAAAACAAAAGTCGGTTTTCTAGCACACATGTTTTGGGAACTTTTAACTTTTAGAGCTTTATCAAATGTTGACAATTCCCGCAAGACAACTAAGCTGGAAATTTTGCGCGTGCGCGGCCAGTTCATAGGCACTGGTACCAACGACCATCAAAGGTATTGCGATTGTTGCATGCTGAAAAAGCTCGGGAACTCATTTTTCTACGTACACCATGCACGAGCTTAGACTTAATTTTTATTACGTGGTAAATCATAGTATTGAGACTGATGAATAGTATAAAGTACATAAACCCTGAATTCGATCGGGAATTTCATAAGTTTGAAACTTGAGCATGTGATTCATTGATTTGCAATTGTTGTTTTTCAATCTTTTTTGTAAAACACCCTCGCGCTTGATCGTTGGTAAAATCTTTTCTGACCAATATGTCTCTATACGTGTTCTATACGACTCATCAATCTTTAGCGAGATAGTAATGGATTTCATATCAAATATCAATTCATCAAACTTTTCTTTTGTTATTTTGCCATAGATTATGCATAAACTGAACTTTTTAGGGGCACCATCTTGTTTAATATAAAGTAATATAGAGGTCTCATTGTTAACGTAATTGATTATACCATCACATGCACAACAGCATGTCAGTGAATCAATGTTTATGCAGCAATATGATCCGGGCTGGTCGTATTCAGCTATACGGTCGAAGTCCTACTTACATGTAGACATATGTGACACGCCGAGAGGTTCATGCTCATAAAACTTAAATACCCCACGGTAACTCGGTAATTTAGCCCCCTGAAATCTAGTCCGAATTATTCTGACGTTTTATCGACTTTTTTAATATCGGTCTGTCGTCGATTAACGTCAGAACTCCGGCCCTCTATAATATGCGGGAAATATGCGACCCGCGCCCGGAGCGCACTTCAAACTGATATTTATATACCAGGTATATATAAATTGGTTTTTAATGCATATACTTTCTGTTGATATGTATATTAAATGTTCATTTTAGGGGAACTAAAAGTGAAACCTGCACTTGGCGGGGAGGAGACTGATGTGAGACCAGTTATGATAGGCAAAGCCATTCCTGAAGGTTTTCTAGAAAGTGGTGATAAAGGCCAGGGACCTTCTCTGCCTACACTAGATGTAATTAAGCGCATATTGGTGATCTATCCAAA